CCACCCCCCCGGCAAACTGCTATAAAGAGAAAGTGAGGAATCAGGGTGGGTCCTCATCTCCTCACCTCAGGGCACCGTTTTTAGAGACCTGGACCAGCCTTGGTCTGGGCTCCTTTATCCTCCCTTTGAGTAGGAGAGCTAAGTCTATGCTTGTGAAGAGACGTTATTAAAAAAAAAAAAAAGACTACCATCAAGTTGATTCTGATTCATGGTGTCGTTAGGTGCAGTGGAATCCGTTCCGACTCCTAGCACCCCTTTGCTGTGCACAACAGAAGGAAGCACTGCCCAGTCTGGCACCATCCTCATCTTTGAGCCACTTCATCACGATCCTATCGGGTTTCTGAGGCTGTAAATCTTCCTGGGAGCAGCTGTCCTCGTCTTTCTCTTGGGTGGCTGGTGAACCACCAATCTTGCAATTAGCAGTCCAACACGTAGCTCAGCACCACCAGCTCTGACTGTCCAGTCCATTCCAACTTATAACGGCCCTATAGGACAGGGTAGAACTATCCCTGTGGGTTTCTGAGACTAGCTCTTCAGGAGTAGAAAGCCTAGTCTTTCTCTCAGGGAAGAGAAGTAATAGTTGACCTATGAGTTGGGATCATTGGCCAGGTAGTGGTCTTCCAAATGTTTTAGCATAGATGAGTAGTCGCTGCCAGTGCTACATCCATTGGTTGAAAATTTTAAATTAGCATTCCATCAGTTCCTGGAGCCTTGTTTTTCAACAACGCCTCCAGTGCATCATAGACTTACTTCTTCCTTCAGTACCATTGGGTTTTGATCATACGCTACCTAGTGAAAATGGTTGAGCATGGACCAATTATTTTTAAGGAAGTGACTTTGTATATTCCATCTTTTTTCAAGGCTTGTGTCACTCAATATTTTGCCTACCCCACACACAAAAAAGAAAAAAAGCCCATTGCCATCAATTCAGATCTGACTCATATTGGTTCCAACCAGAATAGAATTGCTCCTGAGGCTAGAAATCGGATGCACACAGCCTCACCTTTCTCCTGAGGACCTGTTGATAAAGTCTGTTGACTCTACAGTTAACAGCTCAACCATGCAACCCACTACACCACCAGAATCCTTCAATATGGCAACTCAGGATTGAATTTTTTCTTCAGTTCTCTCGGCTTGAGAAAGATTCTTCTCTTGGTTTTCTAATTAACTCCAGCTCTTCAAATATTTTATTAGAATACTATACTTTGTCTTCTAGAACTGCCCTTTGAAATTTTCTGTTTAGCTCCTGTGCTTCCGCATTTCTTGCAGTCACTTTAGCTTCTCTGTGTTCCTAGAGTAAGTTTCAGCGGCTCTCCTGACACCTGTTTTGGTCTTTCTTCCCTGTCTTTTCAGTGACATTTTACTTCCTGCACAATGTTCTGGATGTCATTCCACATTCTCCTAATCCTGACTCTCCTCCTCCTCCTCCTTTCTCCTTCTGTTGATCCAGGTGGCTAGAGACCAATTGTTGTACCTCTGATGACTGCTCAAAAGCTTTTAATACCCCAGGCACGGTGCAGTGAACCAGGAGGTAGAACAGCAGCACTAAACACATTATTAGGCCAATTAACAGAGATGTCCCTTGGAACCATGACCTTAAACCTCCAAACCAAAGAGGCAACTCCCATGAGGTGTTTGGTTGTACATACGCAGCCTCAGCAGCTTTTCTCCCTTCTTTATTTCATTATAAATCTATCACACTACTTTTTCCAGTTTAACATTTGACATGTATACAACTAGAGTTACAGTAATCAGTTGTGTAACCTACCTTAACCAAAGAAATTTCTCCAGGGCTGCTAACCCCTGCTTTTACCTTTCCTTCCCACCCTTAGTAATCACTAATAAATTTGGCTCTCTATGAATTTCTCTTCTGTTGATCTTGTTACATAAGTACTTTTTGCATACGTAAGATCATATGTTTTTCCTCTGGAGCCCTGGTGGCATAGTGGTTAAGTGTTGGGCTGCTAACTGCAAAATCAGCAGTTCAAAACAACCAGGCACCCCAAGGGAGAGAAATGAGACTGTAAAGAGTTAGTCTCGGAAGCCCAAAGGGGCAGTTCTGCCCTGTCTTATATGGTCACTGTGAATCAGAATTGACTTGGTTACAGTGGCTTTGA